TTAAAAGTAAATTATCTGAGTTTCGAAGTGTAAACATTGGATGAAATGACGGCCAAAATAAAGACAATTTATATGAATATAATATTTACATGAAAGTTAAAAGCCTATTTGTAAGATGTCAGTGTATCTTGGGTTGCTCTTTCTGACCCAGATGAAAATCTTTGAATTTCTTTTCCCAATTTGTTCTTTCTCATATTTATATATACGTACATATATATTATATCACATGTTATGTTCAGTGTCCCCATTTGCAAGAATAATAAATTGAAAATATTTACATAATTTTTTAATTTGAAAACATATATATATATATATATATAATTGATATGTTATCACATATATATCAATAATTCTACATATAAAAAATTATTTACCGGATTTATGATTGTGAAATTGTTGTAGCTATCAATTGTAAGGAATTCAATTCTTATAAGTATATGTTTAATATTTTTTTAGATATAAAAGAATAAAAAAAAGTGCAAATATATGAAATACAAGAGACTATTTATGTATTACACATTGTAGACCAGAAGACTCCAGGAAAATCTTCTCGTATGATTCTCAGGAGATCTGTATGAAGGTGCTGCATGTAATGTGATTCAAAGGGCCAAGAAAATGTTTGATTAGCCAAGTGGTCAGCACAACGATTCTCCTCACAATAGACGTGTTGTATCTTAACAATTTAATCTTTCATAAACTAAATTTTAATAGCAAGAATTAGGTGGGATATAACATTGATGGGAATCTGCTCCCTATTGAAAACTCTATTTAAAACTTGGACAACCGAACACTATCCATCTTTAAAATCACATGACATGATCTCAAGTTCTAAGTTAGCTCAAGACCATCCAGAGCCCCCTAAAACTTAGCCTGTAGGATGAAACATGTGATGATGTTCCTGATGTGACCCCCGAGTAACTGACTGTTGCTGTCTCGGCCAATGACATCAGTGCAAGCCGTATCAGTGCTCCTACGGAGAGCCCAATCTGTATTGATCTTGATTCAATTCTGGAGCGACGGTATCCAAATGATAAATTTTTCCTTTTTCCAGGCGTGATGAACATATATAGTAGACTTAATGGTAGATGCTTGAAAAGTATACTTTGTTATTTTAACTTCTCCAGATTGAAAGAGCTACCCCCCAAAAACGAAAGCATTCCATGATTTTCAGAGTAGCCAACAGGTGATGCCAAACATAATCTTTTAATTCCTGAAGAACGAGCCCCAACTATACTTATTCTATAAGTTAGCAGAGAGTTAGTCATCGAAGTGTGTATTGAAGAATGTAGGACTGGCCGTCTGTGGGATGATCTTCTGCCAAAGACTCTTCACCTAGCGACACTCCCTCAGTACATGGTTGAGGTCTTTGATACCAAGACCATAGATCGTGCAACCTGGATCATTCGCCATGTGTCTGCAGACCCACTTCTCACTCGTAAGTAGGCCTTTCTACAAGACCAACTAGAGAAAATTACGAATGTGTTGAACGCTTGACCATTTCCACGTTAAGTCTCATTTATTATCTGTAAAAAGAGAAGAGATATCAGTAATCATATTATCAGCAGATTTAACCGAAAACTTACCATCAGACAATAAGCCCCATTACAGAGCATCCGCCCTCATATCATTATGCGGGATGCTAACAACACTGAGTTGAAGGAGAACACTAGTCTCCTGCAGAAGATTTCAATCCCACTAACCAATCGGAGTCACCAGGTCTTTAACTCTTTTGGACCCATGGGAATCAACAGTAGGTTGAAAGGCAAGGAGGTTGAGAGGACCACATCCCCCCAGCAAGTTATCCTCCCATAACCTCAGTCTAGTACCATCACCAACATTCCAAGCCAATTCATAGTTCAACTCATCCCAAAGACCATTCAGTTTCCTCCACACATAGTAACAGGTACTCAGATTAACGGGAGGCCTGTACGGGTAATCCCACTTATATTAATGACATAGGATTTTGATCTACCAGCTTGGTCATAATGACAAAGTCCACCTTCATGAGGAAAACTTTGTTGAAGACTCCGAGTACTTTGTCAAACTTAATTTTTAATTTCATATTTTATAAATCCTCTAAAATTTTAGAATTTATTATTGATTTTTAAAATATACTGAAAGTCTTAAGGATGCCGTATTCTAAAATCCCGATAATATGATTGAATAAATTCTTCTCTATCTATTACGGGTCAGGACCTCTTCTCATTCCCTTCATTCAAACTTCCATCTGTATTTTTGTAATTATTACGTAAGTTATTAAGTAATTATAAGATATTAAATAATCTACATAATCCAGCTACAAAGTTATTATTATTATTATTATTATTAATTTTTACAGTCTTTGGAACTTACCCAAATTTGTCACATTTGGTTATTTACTTGTCCCTTGGGTGCATGAGAAGTTCAATGCCCTCTTGTCTCTGTATTTGTTATTTTGTCAGTTTGCGGGAAGCAGTAGCGGTAAATGTAAATGGTAAATTTTAGATTGTAAATGGCAGGTAAATTTATCAGTGAAAAATTACTTGACCAATCAAAACCTTTTTATGCTGTCCCCCAACAGTTCGTTTGTCTTCTTATTTTTAATTATATTGATTAAATTATGTTAATATTACAATTTAATAATTTAATGATTAATATTATTACTTGCAATTTTTAGATTTATCTAAATAATATTTTATACTGGTTTTTATTTAAAAGAAATTATAAATATTTTTTGGTGAAGACAAAAAATGTAAAGGATTTAAAACGCAACGTATTGCATGTTCAAATGGGCCAGGCCTACCGCTCATTGGACTGATTTAGTCACGGGCTCGGGTCATACCCGTAACCGGCCCAGTTTAGCACCGTCATTTTTTCTTTTTCTTTTTTTTTTTTTTCGTTGGAAAATTAGTCAATAAGAAGTAAAACAAGAAAAAAATGTGGTGATTTGCAGGGAGGAGACTGGCTTCTCCGACGACGTCCGGATTTTCGATTCCGCGGTTTCATGAAGCTTCAGCTGGATTCGCGGAAATCGGAATCCGAAGTCTCCGGCATACGTCTCCGGAATCTCGCAGCAAAAACCCGGGAATTTAAACCCTAGTTTTTTTAAAAATTACTTTTTAAGAAGTATATTGAATTTTCTGTTTGTACGAAAGGAAATTGATTCCGGATGGGAACACCAGAATTTCCAGATCTAGGTAAACATTGCTCCGTTGAAGATTGTAAGCAGATCGATTTCCTGCCCTTCATTTGCGATCGCTGCCGCCAGGTGCCGTTTCTCTCATTCTCTAGCAAAATGTATATTTATCCATTACTGTTGTAAATTTGCGCCTGTGTAGAGCTACGGAAAAGCTTTCAGAGCTTCTTAGTGTTGTTTTTTCTTCCCTTTCTGGCATTTTTGTGGTTGATGATTTGTCTTTTGGCTGATAAAAAAGGGTAGGATTTGCTAACGCGTTACGTCCTTTCGTTGAGGTAAGAGGAAGATGTATACAGCCCTTCCTGATAAAATCAATTTGACTTAGTTATATTTGTTGTTCTTTGTTGGAAGGACAAGCAGTTGACGTGCTAGTTTAAGGTTGGTTGAATACATGTTGATACCTGTTCTACTCTGTTTCCCGCTCCTTCAGCTCAAATCAAAATCCATAATTTTGGTTGTCGTGGTGCAATTCTCACTGCTTGATAATCAATGGGAACTTTAACTGCAATTATTTAGAATTTTTATGATGGGTAACATTGGTCTTCTTGTTTGTTACCTTGGTGGGTGATTTTTGCTCGTGCTGGCTGATGATCAGTGCCGCCTGTTACTTTCTAGCTGGTTTTTTCTTAAATGTTATATAGTCATGTAGTAGTCCTATCCGCCTAGAAAGATTCATTCGATAAAGAGAATGCGAGTAGGCAGGAGATCAATAGACACAGAAAGAGAAGACCAAAAGAAGCAGAAGGCACTCAGTTATTTATGTGAAATAAAGAAGCAGCAGGTTACGAAGGAAAGATGAATTAAGCGATCATCGAGATCTTTACAAAAAAGAAAAGCATTACAAGAAATTCAAAGCCATGAACAAGAGTATTTGCTGAGAAGTAGACCTAAGCGATCTATTTTCTGCTGGGATTCGAGCTGTGTTTTTCTGTTTTTGTTTTGGTACTAAGTAGTCCCACCTATATGAATATCTTGTTAATATGATTTTTGGTGGTGATGTTGCCAAGATTAATGTGTCTGATGCTTGTTTGTATGCTTCTGTTATTACCCCTTCTTTTTTCTTGGTGTCTTTATAATATATACAAGCTTCTATGTATGAATACTCCTTTAGATAAGAGTATCTTGTGGTTTCTTCTCCAACAGGACCATCATTTGTTGCCGATGTTTTATCATTTCCTTCTTTTGGTCCTCTTAATGGGTGTTTTTAATTGCTCAAGCACTCAATGAACACTGGATATGAAAAATTTTCACAGGTTTATTGCTTGGAGCACCGAAGTTACTTTAAGCATAATTGTCCAAAAGCTGATAGAGGAGATGTTACTGTTGTCATTTGTCCACTTTGTGCGAAAGGAGTCCGCCTAAATCCGGATGAAGACCCTAACATCACTTGGGAGGCACATGTTAATACCGAATGTGATCCTTCTAATTATGACAAGGTCACAAAGAAGAAAAAATGCCCTGTTCCTGGCTGCAGGGAGGTTCTAACATTCTCTAATACAATCAAGTGCAGGGACTGCACTTTAGATCACTGTTTGAAGCATCGGTTTGGACCTGACCACAAATGCCCTGGACCTAAGAAACCTGATGCGGGTTTTGCCTTCATGTCTCTTCTAAGCAGGAGTAGGAAAGAAGAGTCAAAAACCTACCAAGCTCCTGCCACATCTTCGTCTAAGTGGACTTCAACCTTTCTGAGTGCAGCGTCAACTGTTCGAGCATCTGCTGAAGCAAGTATGGCAAAATTGAGTAGTGAAATCAGCCAAAAATTGCAGATTGCAAGGGATGGGGTTGTTCAGGGCAACAACAGCAACGGGAATGGTGGAGCCGTGAAAATGGAGACCTGTCCTCAATGTGGTGCGAAGTTTTTGTCGGTTGCTGCTCTAGTTGACCATGTTGAGAAAGTCCACGAAAGGAACAGCAAGCAAGGCAGAGCCAAGGTCACCATTGATGTTTGTCCCAAGTGCAGCAGAGGGTTTCGCGATCCGGTGGCTCTTGTGGAGCATGTTGAAAGGGATCACGGCGGTACTTCAATAGCTTGAAAAAGGTTTGTCTGTCTAACATCTTTGTTGCAGACTCACTCCACCTCGATTCTTGATGTTTTCAACTGTATGATACAAACACTTATTGCAGAAAAATAAAAAAAAAAGAACCAGAAGAAATCATTCGTCATGGCTCTTTTTATTAAATTCTTCATCAAGGAAAATTGAGTACGAGTCTTGACAAACCTCCTTGTGAATTACACAGTTGCTTGAATGAGACTTTCTTTTGGTAGAAAATTATAAAAGACTTTTTTTTTTCTAAAATACAACTGGATTCATCGAAGCACAAAAACTTTGACGTAGCTGGCGCAGGTTTGGTATCCGGCGGCAACCTTCTTTGAATTTCTTTTGGGTTACAACAGTTTATGATCACCGTACTGTATCTAATACAGTACTAGGTATTATAATACTGTTCATAACTGTAATAACTTAAAATTTTGTATTGGGAAAAAATTTGAATTTGACCAGCAAAATTTGGGTGACTGATTTGATTATTGACGTAGTTAAGCTTTTCAGTTCTGTAAAGTGGATAGTTTATTCTTTAATCAAACCTGTGTAATAATTTTTAGATGATTTAATTTATTAATATATTAATAAAATAAAATAAATTTATTATTTTTTAATAAAAAAAAATTATATTATTTTTTTATTTTTTAAAAAAATGTATAATGATTATTAAATTTTTTTATTATTTTAATAAAATGATGCAAACTTCAACTTTTAATTATAATAATTAATAATTCTTTAATTAAATAATTGAATCGTAAAAAAGTGAGTCCAAATTGGATTAATTTTATGATTAATTATTTGAATTGTTATGTTATGAATTTTTATTAAAAAATTATACTATCATGAGTATTAAATAAATTACGAGTATATTATTATTGTTGTATGATTTATTAATTGGATCGTCAGTAATAATGAATTTTAAAATTAAATAATATTATTTTTAAAAAAGTAATAAATTAATTAAAAAATTAATTTTATAATATTTCTTATTAGTAGCACTTAAAGGTATTTTCATATTGATATACAATTAAATAAAAAATAAAAATTATATCTCTAATTTAGGAAATTATATAATTAAAAACAATTTTCATTTATTTTTAAAATAATGCTGCGGTAATAATTTTTTCAGAAAATTTTATTTATAAACCAATAAAAAAATATTAAATTTATAATTTTTATTTACACGAATTAATTACTTAATTAATAATTACAAGTAGTTTTAAAATATTAATTAATTTATTTATTTGTAAAAGAAAATTAACTTAAAGAAAAAAAAAAAAAAAAAAAGAAGAATCGGCAGCGAAAGGAGTTAAAAAAAGAAAAAAACACGTCGTGGATTTGCACCAATCCCAGACTGAGTATATGATTAGTGGGGCCCGCGTAAATACCCGTTGCGTAGGTGTAAAGTTATTATCACCAACGGCAGGCTTCCAGCCGGATATGAAGGAGGAGGAGGACATAATAATCCCATTTTCATTTTCATAGTCATATCCTCTTCCAGAAAAACACGTTCGTTTCTGAAAATCCCCGAAGAGAGAGAAGGGAGTCAAAGAGACGAACAAACAACGCAGTGGAGGAAAATTCTTTGACGGCCGGGAAAATGCAGGAAAATCTGTTCGTGTTTTGTGCAGCGTAGAGAAATTCGCAGACTCAGGGCCCTTCCTTGTGATGATTCCGGTTAACCTTTTCTTTGAATCTCTCTTTTTTGTTTTTCCCTTCTTTTGTCTTCAGATAAAGTTTTATAGCATTTGATCTCGAAGCTCGAACGTAGTTTTTTGTTCCAATTTTTTTTTTTGATTGTTGTAGGGGACGCTTTCCTGTAAATTATCGACGACATTGACTCTTTAGTTATGATTTCTTGATTACAGTTTGAAGATTCATATATCCTTTTTTTAAATGTTTTTCCTATTGGTAGCTGAATTTTGGTATTTTCAATGCAACTTTTGGATTGTTATTTCTTGGAAAAATGGAACTCTTCGGAATTTGATTAAGGTTGAATGCTTTCAAGGAGGATTTGTTTTTTTCCCCCCCTATAATTTTAAATCCTTTATTTCTGAAGAAGCTTTATTGTTTTTAAGCCATTTAGGTTTCTGTTTGGTTTTAGGTGTTTGGTTTAGAGATTAAAGTGATCGTGCAATTTCCGATTGCAGATTGGTCATTGAGCTTTGAGCAGTATCCATTTGTTGCCAAGCCTTTCTTTCCCTTCTCGGCACTGAAAGTTTTTTCACTTTCACCTGTTTAGAAGGGAAAGAAGGTGTAAATTTTGAAAGCAATTGAAGTTTTCATTGCTCATCCGTGTCTAATCTGACTAAAAAAAATGAGTACAATCTCGGGCATGGTTTCAAGGCAAGTAATGCCGGCATGCGGTAGCCTTTGTTTCTTTTGCCCTGCAATGCGGTCAAGGTCTAGACAACCCGTCAAAAGGTACAAGAAGCTCATTGCTGATATTTTTCCTCGAAATCAGGTTGGTATACATTTTTCAAGTGTCCTGCAATTTAAATTTTCTACCTCTGTCTGCTAAAAATATTGTGAACTCATTTTGCTCACTGCTAACCAAGCATGCCTGCTTTATTGATTAATTTTTTATTGGATATGAACTAACACAAGGATGATATAACTCATGGCTATACTATTGCTGTCTGCTTAGTGCCACTGCACCTTTTCTTCTTATTTGTGTTCTTCTAATTAATTATAGGCTTGCAGTTATGTTAAGAGTAACATTGCAGATCATAATGGATGTGTCTGGTTATGTCATTCACCTATTAGTATAATAGGGTAACTTTTAATGGAAATCTAGTTTTTTGGTGGTGCACTTAATTGTATACCAAATATACCAGTTATTAGTGTTAGTAGCAGCTGTAATATTTTAATGATTTCTTCTTTTTCTGGTCTTCAGTCAAATGTTCACCTTCATTTAATTTTAGATATATAAATATGTACATACTGAACTAGCAATTGTATTCTAATCAAGTTTGATTTTTAGGAAGTTTTCTTTGTTCGCATTGAAGTCTCCTAAATCTTAATTGTGTTGTAGCATTGTCAATTGAGTTACTTTCTGTACTATCCTATTTATGAATCAGAGTTCTTGCCTCTTTCATGATCTTCTGAAATTTGGTTGTTTATGTTCTCATAGGAGGAAGGGCCAAATGATCGGAAGATTGGAAAACTTTGTGAATATGCTGTTAGAAATCCTTTGCGGTTACCCAAGGTACAATATTTGTATTTGCAAGCCTCAAAATTTTTATTTGCTTATTTCTTTTCTACAAAATTTTCTTTGCTATTGGTGTTGCATAACCCCTAGTCTTTTTTCCCCTCAAAAAGATTAATAGTAGTCAATAATATCCCTAGGATGTAATGAGCCATGATGTGTTTCTTTGCATGTGTTTCAGTAGCTCATAGGATGTTGCTGCTTTATTTTTCCTTTCCTTTATGTGTTCCTTTGGGGGGATCTCTTATTCTCCAGTTTTTTCAATGTTTTTCTTTTTTTCCCAACAAAATTTCTTCTTTTATAAAAAAAATCTGCTGCTGTGCTGATTGAATAGCTGTTATTAAAAATTATTGTCCAAGAATTACTTTGCATCTTCCAATAAATTCTGGCTGGAATTATGGGAATCTACTGTTTTATGTAATAGCTTTTGAAATTATTTTTGAAGAGTTACCTTGCATCTTCTAATGGTTTTAAGCTAGGCTTGTTGGACTTCCTTTTATCTTTTACTGAATAATGTGCTCTGCACTTTTTTTCTTTTTTCTTTCTTTTCTCTGAATTTCCATTTTAGTATGACTATTCTTTCTGGACCTACGGGTTACAATTTTGACAAATACTCATTGTTTAATCTTTTAAAATTAGGTTACCCTAGTTTGTAAATGATCGCAATCTTGCTAAGCAAGCCTTCTTCCTGCATCAATCTTTCACAAGGAGCCATCTAAAGATGACACAAGAAAATTTTCTTGAAGTTTGCTCAACTAGTATTTGTCCTTTTCTTGTGTTTTTCTTTTTGATATGATATCTTCTTTTAAAAAAATAAAAGATATTTTCATATCATTCATTGAAACATTCACCTCCCTTGGAGTTTTATATTTTGTGTTGACCTTATTATTTAGGATAATTCTGATTGTACCATTTTGAGGATACAGTTCTTTTGTTTTCTTTTTTATTTATTTTTTTTATAGTTTTAGAATTGCTGTTCTGTTAATTAAATAATTGAGTTTCCTATCAGATCACAACTTCTCTCGAGCAAAGGTGTTACAAGGAATTAAGAAATGAGAACTTTCAATCTGCAAAGATCGTCATGTGCATTTACAGGAAACTATTGGTATCCTGCAAGGATCAAATGTGAGTTAATCCTTTTCCTATAGTATAGTTTATAGTTTCTTCACGTGTTGTATCTGCTTGTTTTCACTGCTTAACTTCAAAGCTATTCTACCTGATGCTGGATATGGGATATGTATTGTGGTATCTCAAATTGATTGACCTACTAATTATAGGTTTAAGCTTAGATTTTCCATGCAGAGGGCTGTGCACACCCATATCGCTTTTCTTATTTATTCTAAGTAAATTAGTTATAGCAACTGGCATTAGTTTCTCTTTGTCACTTAGGAGATCTTTATTTGCTCCCTTGGCTCCATAGCCCCTGGCCAAGTGTGCTGTATATTTGTTCAATTCAATATAATTGTATCTCCAAAATTGTCTTAGTGCTAACCTTCAAGCTTAAATATCAATATGTCTGAGTAGCATATCAAATTTTCATAAATTCGTAACAGAAATTGTAAATTAGAAGTTAGTATTAGCACCTTATGAATGTTGGGATGTTGGGTATTGTTTTCTTTTTTTTTTTTCTTTTTTTTTTTTAATTTGGCTCTTTCTTTGGTGACAACAAAACCATGATCTTTATTTCACAGGCCTTTATTTGCTAATAGCTTGCTAAGCATTATTCAGACTCTCTTGGATTTAACTAGAGAAGATGACATGCGTATTATTGGGTGTGAGATTCTGTTTGACTTCGTAAATAACCAGGTTGATGCTCTTTTCTTTCTCTATTTTGAAATCTTATGTGTTATTAATTAAATGAAGTATCTTCAGCATAGCCGCCCAAAAAAGATAATAACAAAAAGAAAGAAGTATGTTCGTATTTGAACTCATCAGCTTGCTGCATGTTGCAGGAGGGTGGGACTTACATGTTTAACTTGGAAGGCTTTGTTCCAAAACTATGTCAATTAGCTCAGGAAATTGGGGATGATGGAAGGGCATTGAGTTTACGTTCAGCTGGGCTGCAAGCACTTTCTGCTATGGTATTTGTCTCATTTTTCTGCAATTGTTTTTCAGATGTTGTGATTATGTTTCCCTTAGGTTGGCTTGCTGAAAAAGAAAGAAAGAATTGTGACTTTTAATATTTTATAGAAGAAAAACAAAAATATTCTCTGAGTTAAAGAAATATTATTACAAAAAGAGCATAAATAACTTTATATATTTTTTTAAAAAGCATAAATAACTTAATGATAAGATATCCTCCTAAAATAATGAAAATAGAAAAAGGGGGCAAACTTCCAAGGAAAAATAAGTGCTCAATGTATTTAGAAAAAAGCAAAAAGCAAGAATATTATGAACAAAGTACCAAAGATGTGCCACCCCATGCACAACTTGAGGTGTTGAAAATTAAATCAAGTCCTTAAGCTTTGCTTGAATGTTTTGAATTGACAACAAAACTAATGTTACAGCTCTTTATCACCTGTTTGTTGTGGGGGTCTCTGTATTGTGAGCTTATAAACATTTTTCAATGACAACGGACATAGCTTATGACTTCTTTCCACAAAGCAATACAAATATTTTTTCCAGTATGGGCTTGTGCACGTGTATGTGTGTGTATATTCTAATGTCCTCTGCATTGTCATTTTGTTCTGCAGGTCTGGTTTATGGGTGAACACTCTCATATTTCGGTAGAGTTTGATAATGTAAGTAGATCTGGACACCCTCATTTGTGTGTGTACTGTCATCTGTCGTGATCTTTGTCTGCTTTGCATTGAGACTTGTCAGAGGAGCTTATCTAGGGATACCCTTTCCCTGTGGGCTGGGTTTTGTGGCTACAGCATAATGTCGTGATCTTTGATTTCCATTCATTTTGGATAGGTTTTGTGAGAATCTCCTGTTTGTGCACTAAGGGGCATGTTCTTTTGGAGGTTCCCTTTGTCAAATATGCAAATGAAGTCTGTAGTTTTCCTTCTTTTCTCTTTTGTTTTGTTTTCAGTTTGATTGGAGGATCCCTTTTCTTTTGAGCGAAGATTGCAGAATACCTTATTCTCCCTCCTTTTTACTCTATTTCTTAAAAACCTGGGTTTATGCCTATAGGACCTGTTGTTATGGAAAATGATATGTAAAGCTATGGTGAAGTGACTATAATTCATTGGCAACTGAAGAATTAATGCCATTTAAGTATCTTCTAACCAGATATTTCTTACATGATTCAACAGGTTGTTTCGGTGGTCTTAGAAAATTATGGAGGTCAGAAGACAATTCCAGATAATGTTGTTAATGACAATAACCGGTGGGTGGAAGCAGTACGCAAAAATGAAGGTTATATATCATGTCCCGCAGATACTCCAATAAGGGTTCCTTCTTGGAGGGAAGTTGTGAATGACAAAGGCGAAATAAATGTGACAATGTGATGGCATAAAACTTCTCAAAGTGAATTCCAAATTTTAATTTTGTTTTTAGCTTTGCCTGCTAATAATTTTTTTCCTTTTGAACAGGGAAGATGCCCAGAACCCTTGCTTTTGGTCGAGAGTTTGCCTGCATAACATGGTCAGGCTGGGAAAGGAGGTTACAACTATGAGGCGTGTTCTAGAATCTTTGTTTCGTTATTTCGACAATGAGAATTTATGGTCTCCTGAACGTGGACTTGCTTTCCCAGTTTTAAAGGATATGCAGTTTCTAATGGATAATTCTGGTATTCATGCAATTCTAAAATTTCTAATAGCTTCTGGCTTTTTCTTTTGTAAAATCTTAATTCTTTCTCTGCTAAATCTTTAGTGTACTTGACTTACAATTTCCTTTTCTCTTTCCGTGTCTTGTAGGGCAAAACACACATTTATTACTGTCCATATTGATTAAGCATCTCGATCATAAAAATGTCCTTAAACAACCAGCCATGCAGCTTGATATTATAGAGGTTACCACTTCACTCACTCAACATGCAAAGGTTGAACATTCTTTAGCAATAATTGGCGCCATTAGCGACATCATAAGGCACCTGCGAAAGAGTATACATTGCTCCCTTGATGATGCAAATCTGGGTGCTGATATAATAAAATGGAATAGAAGTTTCCGAGAAGCCGTTGATAAATGCCTTGTACAACTGTCTGACAAGGTGAGATTTTCTCGTCTACATATTACTTTATACCTTATTTCCTGCCCAAAGGAACTTAGGGGCGTGTCTCCTCACGTAAAGAAGTGAGATTAAATGACCTTACTTGATTTGGGGAAAAAATGTGTACATAATTTTTTAATTAAACGTCCTGATATTTTCAAAACTTTGGCCTTATTGGTCATAATAAATGGTGATTTTAATAGCATCGGTCACAGTAAATAATAATAGATTTTAATAGCATTGGTCACAGTAAATAATAATATTGACCTCACAGCCATACTGAAATATGGATTTGACCCATAATAGTTCAATAATTTTGATCTCACTGGTTATCATTTTTGTTTGTATTATACTGGCACTATTTTTTCAAAAATAAATTATATTGGCACTACTGATAGAATATTGTAGTTCAGTTCCAGTGAGAACTAGAGATAACATAGTTCCTCAACAAGATGAAAAGAAAAACTAGAGATAACACAAATTCTGATGCTTTCTTTTGATTTCAAGTCGTCTTCGTGTATCAACTAAATTTGATGGTTTTAAAGTCTAATTTTCTGCCATCAGCTCCTTTCTCTTATTATGAGAGATACAATGCTGACTGCCATCTCTTAATAGGTTGGAGATGCAGGCCCAATTCTTGACGTTATGGCTATGATGTTGGAGAATATTTCTACTATTACCGTAATAGCCAGAACAACAATTGCTGCTGTTTATCGTACGGCTCAACTTGTAGCCTCTATACCGAATTCATCATATCAAAACAAGGCAAGAAATCCCAATTCTTTATGTTTTATCCTTTCATCTCTTTTGTGCTGTTGAATAAATTATATCTATACTAATGGCGCACTAGAGTTTCTCCTTCTTCGCAGGCATTTCCCGAGACTTTATTTCATCAGTTGCTCCCAGCTATGGTCCATCCAGATCATGAAACGCGAGTTGGAGCTCACCGCATTTTTTCTGTGGTTCTTGTGCCTTCTTCAGTTTGTCCTCAGCCTTCATCTGTTGGTACCGAGCTAAAAAAGGGCTTGGGCCTTCCCCGGACTGTCTCAAGAACTGTCTCTGTCTTTTCTTCCTCAGCGGCTCTTTTTGAGAAGTTAAGAAAGGATAAACTTTCCTCCAGAGAAAATGCTAACCAACTCAGAAAAGAAAGTGTTACTATTGAGGAGGAGCCAGTAACAAGTAACAGTGGAATGCTTAGTAGATTGAAATCATCTTATAGTCGAGTATATAGTGCCAAAAATCTTCCTCTAACATCAATAACGGAGGGAAATTCTGAGAACAATAAGGAACCGGTAAGTCTTTGAAATGTCATTACTGCTAGAAAAGACACTATTATGGGGATTGCTTGTTAGATAAGATATCTTGTGGTTGGCCTACATATTTCAAACTGGTTTGGGTGACAAGGTCAAGCTCAACTTTGTGGTTAATTTTATTTTCTGAGTTTTCTAGCTTTAGTTCTGGACATGAAGCATGCTTCTTTTAGCTGAATACTGTAAGGACGTTAGATCTCTGATAACTGAAGAACAGCAAGCTTTTATTCAGACAACCCAAAACATTTGGACCACAGCATATTTTGATTAGCTTATTATACTTTAGGTCCTACAATATGACTTGATCTGCAGGATTGCCACATGTGGCACTGAGTGATTTAAATGAATAATCCTTTAATTACTTGTTGAAAGTTTAACACTAGGTTTGTGAATCAATCTAAATGTGTTGTATTGATTCGTTAATCCTCAGGAGGCTAATTCCTTAAGGTTGAGTAGCCACCAGATAACTCTTTTGTTTTCATCAATATGGGCACAATCCATCTCTCCTGCAAATTCACCTGAGAACTATGAAGCTATTGCTCACACTTACAGCCTTGTATTGCTGTTTTCTCTGGCCAAGGTAACCAATAGAATAATTTATCTAATTGCAGCATTACAGTGTATAATACCACATTTATAGTGTCTATATCATGGTATTTTTCATGTGTGTTTGTAACAGATAGTAGGTTCTTTCTACCAGCATGAAGAATTTATCTGATAGTACTTTCTATGACTCGTTTTTTTTGCAATCCTGGAGTAGTTTTATTACAATCATGTCTCTAAATGGTTATTTGGTAATAGAATAAGCACTCTTTCCAAACTTATTTGTGTCAAGCCCAAGGTCATAGATCTTAGTAGCTTTCTGCTGCATGTACAGTGTGATATACTATGCTTTTTACTGCACGTCTGACATTACACCATTTTGGAATACATAAAACCTGTAAATTTATCATTTCCATAGCCATTTAATTTTATGGAATTTCTCGAAAGTTTGTAATGCTGCAGATTAGACTTCTTTTACTTAGATGTTCTATTTGCTTTAATCTGTTGACCTCTGAGCCATTAATTGAATTTGTGCAAACTTTGTAAAAGAATTTTAAATTTTGGTAAGGCCAAATCACAGTTCTTAACTTGCTTTCTGAAGCAATTCAAATCTTTTGAGAAGCTGTTCTAGTTTGTCTGATTTATCTATATTTTGTGGTGCTTCAAAACTTGGACTCATATTGGTTGTCTTATTGAAATGAGGTCTCATTTCTTTCAATCCTCTCTCAATTATTTATCATCCCTTGCAGAATTCAAGTCATGAGGCTCTCATTAGAAGTTTCCAGTTGGCACTTTCCCTGCGAGATATTTCTCTTATTGAAGGAGGTGAGCTCCCAAAGCAACGATTCTATGTAATCTGTAACTTCCCATTGAACTCTAATGTTTTTCTACCTCTTCTTCTATTCTTAAAACCAGAGATTTTAGTCTTACATGTTTTATATCAATTGAGAGAGAAGGGAATTATTATATTACCTCTTATTTACTCAAATACCAACAAGTAGAAGCGAAATTAGGGAGGATTTCTTTATAGAAAAGGGAATATTATCCAGGGCAAGAAAAGATAAAGTATGATGTTTGATGATAAGGTATCCTCCTAGATCCTTCTAGTAGAAGAGCTCCAGGTATAGTTACAACTGAAACCCAGCAAATTAGGGAAGATTTTGATAGGAAAAGGAATATTATTGAGAGCAAGAAAAGGTAAAGTACATTATTGGACGATAAGGTATCCTCCTGGAGCCTTATAATAAAAGAAATCAAGTATGGTTACAACTGAACCCAACAAAATATTATATTATTGCTTCCCAATTTCTATGTAGCACTTAAATTTTACTGCTCCATTCTAGCAGTAACGTCCATACGCCCACATGCAAGACGCCCTTCTGTAGAATTATAGCTTCTTGTCGCACCCTCTCTCTATACAAATTTGAACATATGAAACAATCCAGAGGAGGGACAGCTCGCATCAAGCCAAACATATCAAATACTTTGTTCAAAATTTCCAAGCTACTTCAGATTGAAAAAATAAATGATTGAGTATCCTCTTTCCTGCAGACATAACACAAAGATGTCATAAAAGCCATGTAGACTTGTAAATCTGCAATTATTCTATGGTTCTGTACTTGGTAAGAATAGTGGTCGAAGCAAATATCTTAAGTTTAGAAGGCATTTAGCTTTTTAAAATGCATTGGCAAAACGAGTGTGATAGCAATCATAGAAGGATTTACATGTCTACAATATCGAGGACTCTAAGGTCCAGATCCTGCTACCTGACTGCTGGGAATAATGAAAAGTTTCTACCAAACTTGACAGATTTAACATACAATGGGTCTCCTGATCGTTAGACTTACAAAAAATGGGGGTTCCAAGACAATCTTTTTTGTGTGACAAACAGAATAGAAAATAAGGGTATTGTGGCTTGAGCGAATATTAGAAAGACGAGGAAAACAAGTGGCTAACGGGCCATCATTATTCTAAATACTCTCCCAGAAGGACATGCAATGGGAGGTGACCTCCCATGGGCTTTTTGTGGGTAAAGAAGTTACCTGCTGCAGCATCCCATCCATTCCTGCAACTTGCATAAATACTTTTGATCACTTCGTGCCATAAAGAACTAGGATTTTGGCGGAATATGCCAAGCTATTTTCAGCCAATAGAGACAAATTCTTGGATGCTAGATCCCAATCTCCAAACCACCATTAGTTTTTGACTGTCAACACACTTCCTGATTTACTAAATGAGAGAACAGATCTCCTTTCCATTAGTGAAGCTTTTAGACACTTTTGGCAAAGAGAGGACGATAAGTTATAAAATGTAATTACTGATGATCTTCTTTCTCTTGGAAGATAATCAAAATGGTTTTAGGTTAAACTGAGTTAATTGATGGGTAGTTGTTTGGATTCATGGGCAAAACTGGCAATGGCATGTAGTCACAAATCAGCTTTCTCTGATTTTAATTATATGGCCTTTTTTTGGTCCATCCTTGCATCTCCAAGCAATTTTACTTAGCCAAAACTGCCTTGAAACAAGGAAGCATCAACATAGTTGTTTTCAACTAAAGTAGAATTAGGTCACTAGGTTGCTTATGTTGAATTTGTGAATATCCAAGCTCTAGGAATTTGGATAAGCAGTCTTTTCTGAGAAGTCTGTTTTATAACTTTGGTTTTTGAAATAAAAAGTCTAAACAGTTAAATCAACGACACCTAGGGTTGCCGCCCATTTATAGAATATTTACAAATCTATTAGAATATCTATTATATTCTAAAAATCCTCCATCCTATATATGTCATATCCTAAAATCAAAGAGTCAAAATAATAAAACCATCTATTCTTAATTTTAGATATCTCTTCTTCAATCACCTCAAAAGCCCTACTATTCTTCTTTCCGCACCATCCAAAAAATAGTTGATGGATTCTTATTTCAAAAAACTACTATAGTGTTTTTGTAGGAACATAACTAACCTCATTGAATAAGCACTCCTGTCCGCTCCAATCTCATGATAAAGCCATTACTTTGGTCATCATCTGAGAAACTATTCACTGGTGTTCTTATCTACGGCAGCTAAGACACCTAAAATTAAATCTCTTATTGTGGCAGCATTGCCAGAAGTTCCCCAGCCCAGTGTTTGATATTAGTTTGGACATTTGAGCTTCATCATAAACAGAGAGCAAATCTGGAAGAATGACCACCACCCAAACAATTCTTCACTAGATAACTGGATCTTTCCATTCTTAGCCTTTGTTCTCAAATGCAAAGGAGCTTGTCCAATGAAATGGCATCGCCTCAATTCATATGGGGTGTGATTGGATGTCATTCTAGAACAAGATATTGATTTTTTTTAAAGAACTGAATACTAGTGAACCTTGATTGTCAACATCCTCTTGGCTTTCCTCATATGAAGATACAATACAAGGACTCCTAATTATTAACTGAGATAAGATTTTTGTATTCAACATCATCTGAGTACCTTAATAGTTAGAACCACAAAATAAGTCAACTGCTACAATTGTTTTATATGTAACCAGAAACCAACTTTGAAATACTTTGAGAAACAATTGTATTCTCTTTAATTGCAGGACCACTCCCACCATCACGTCGAAGATCACTCTATATGTTGGCAACTTCCATGATTCTCTTTTCATCAACAGCCTTCAATATTCTCCCTCTTATTGATTGTGTCAGGGATGCTGTTGCAGGAAAACAGGTAGATCACTCATGCTGAAAATCAAGCTCATGAAGATACTGCTTGGTGTCTTGGATGCAGTACTTAATTTTGTGTTTAATGTGATAGATAAATCTTAGAACCAAAATGTTTTAAGCTCCCTCTCTTGATATGTTCGAATCAGGTTGATCCATTTCTACACTTGGTTGAAGATCACAAGTTACAGGCTGTGAAGTCAGACCAGATCCGAAATATTTATGGATCAAAAGAAGATGATAGTTTGGCCCTGGAAACTCTTTCAAACATAGAGATAACTGAGGATCAAACTAGGGAATCTTTTGCTACTGAGATTGTGAAAAGCTTGGAAAATTTGTCAGATGTAAAACTTTTCTCCATATAGCTTCCTAATTAAGAAATCTATATTTAGTTAACACTAATATCTGCTAGGTCTTTTATGCAGTCTGAATTGTCCACCACGCAGGAGCAGCTGCTCAATGAATTCTTACCTGATGATGTGTGTCCCCTGGGAACCCAGATGTTTATTGATGATCCACATAAGATTTATCATGTTGGTCCCAAAAATAGTAGAACTTCCAAGGATGTAATTACCTGTCATAGTTTCCAACCTTCTTATCGAATGTCTCGGATCTCAGATTTAAATGACTTTGCTGTTGTGCAGGAAATTCCACTTTTTTCAATGGATGATGATGCTTTTGCTGATCAGTCGGAGAGTCAAGTCAAAACGAGTCCAGAGTTGACCTTGGAACTCCCCCAACTTTTGAGTGTCAACCAGCTTCTAGAATCAGTATGTCAGATATCTAAATTCTCTTTTTTTGCCTGATCAAGTAAAAGGCTAAATTATTTATTTCATCCGCCATGTTTATATGATAAACCAAGTTAACAGGAAGTATTGATTGTTTTGGTTCTTCAAATGGGAATTAGAATACAAAGTGCTACTTGTCCTGTGACAATTGTTTGAAGTGCTATGCACGATATACATTTGTTTGAATTGCTTCATGTGCATGATATTGCATATGTTTAAAATATAACATATATATTTTGTTGTACAAGCAAGATTTTAATTCATTATGAACTAAAAATACTTTTGGATGAAAAAGCTAATAAAAGCCACTAGACTAGGGTTAAAAAGTAAAATATCTTTTCTAGTTCAATTTCATAGCTCAATTTAATGCTTATCTTCCTATTCCCAGTTGCAGTAATCCATTTTTGATATTGTTTGTTCCTTTCTGAAAGCCATTAGAAGAAGATTGGCATTTCTGGCGAGTCTGATTTGTATTGGCTTATAATGTGACAATAGCTGGTATGGAGATGACAGTAAATAGGCAACTATTGATTGCATTCTATGCATTCCCAGGTCCTGGAGACGGCTCATCAAGTTGGAAGACTTTCTGTGTCAACAGCCACTGATGTGCCGTACAAAGAAATGGCACATCACTGTGAGGCACTCCTAAAGGGGAAGCAACAGAAGATGTCCTATTTGATGTCTGCCCAAATAAGACAGGACAGTGAGTCAAAGGGCATGGTGTTTCATTCTCATTTTGACACAGGTCCATATAGGGTAATTCCTCAATCCAAACTCAAATGATCTTGTTGTTCATGCCGCCCTCCATAATCAAATTCTTAGATACAAAAGCCTGAACAACAAAGATGAGGCTCAAGCATTCATGTCCTCAATATTCTTCTATCTGAAAAGCAAGATCTATGATCTGATATTTTTTTCCAAATGTAGGTTGGAAATCCTTTCCTTGACCAAAATGTTGCAGCCGGTTCGTGCAAGCCAGCAGTCTCTGCTGTGCCGCTGCAATGTGCAACTGAGTACCAAAGTCATTCCCAAGGCTTCAGGTTACCAGCATCAAGTCCATATGATAACTTTTTAAAAGCTGCTGGTTGTTGATCCTACATAATCATGTGAGCTGGAGATGAAACTACCAGCATCTAGTCAGATCAGGGATATAAAGCTCAAAAAGGCTTCTTACCCACAGAGATCCAATGTTATTATACACCATGCATTTGTTTCTTTTCGTAAGCAGGAGCCAGGAAGAGAGACCAACCAGTTTGCGATCTAGATCAGTTAATTAGTTCCTTTTTGTGCCTTCAATTCTTTCATTCTTCATATCCCCGGATTTTTTGACGCGGCAGTAGGGGGAGATCTTTTGATTTGCTGCTTCTTCTCTTTCCCTAGTTATCTCTTCTTTTGGCATTATAAAAGAGAGGTCTATTTATTATTGTTATTTTCATCATCTTAGGGTCAATGTATATAAAGGACTCTGCTGTTGATTATAATATGAGAGAGTGCAATCTTTAATCTGGATTGCTGTTACCTTTTTATTGGTTCTTAAAACTTATCCTTCTGTTGTTATTTTTTATCTTTTTGTTTACTTCGTGGCTGTAGGATTTGTACATAAGAGGTTATAAATTCTTGAATAGTGAATAAGCTGTTTTTTCTATTTTTTTTTTTAGGGTAAATTCCTGAAAAGTTTATAAGATTCTGATAAAACAATTTTACTAAGAGGACTTTTGAGTACAAGAATAATATCATTGAGGGCATATATTCTACTTCACCCTTTTTTTTTTCAATAAACTATGTATAAAGTACGTAAAATTTCAGTTTTATTACAATTAGATTTAAACTTAAGAAAAATAATATGAAATTTGTATTACAGAATTAAGTAGCACTAATGTCTTTTAATAAAAAAATTAGAACAATATTCTTGTCTTTCCATCGTTTGTTTGGAAATGACAAGAGGAAAAAAAATTTATACATATATAATTTGTAAAGAAAGGGGATCGATCAAAGATTGAATAAGGTAAAAGAGAAAAATGGCAGGCTACGAGACGGGGTGCAACTGTGTGTGCGCGCGCGAAGACATTAGATGACTTGAATCCAGAGCAAAGACATAATGATTCTCTTATTTAGAGGTCAACGTACTGATCTAATAGTAGCAAGAGAGATTGAAATTCTTGTTTGGTATAAAACATACACTGAAGCAGATAAGTTAGGATGCACAGGGATAACAATGTGGTTTTTCCTTTCCTTTCCTTTCTCTGTTCTTTAATTACCCGGATGGCACTACACCATTGGGTAATCCAACAAACACAAACATGTGACCTTCGAAAAATGAACAACATTCTTCTGAACCAATCCATTCAATGATTAAAAAATCATATCGAACAAATAAAAGATGATTTATCTAGTTATTGGTTGAGAAGAAAGTTATTCAGGGCTTCTTCTACTAAATCAGGGTATAAAAGAATTAATTGGCTCTTACCTAATTATTGGATGAAGGATTCACCTTGAACCCATCGAGATAAAAGTCAGGGACATGTGCAATCTTGGGCCAGTCTTGGCCTCCAAAGGGAGGACGGCATCTGCTGCTTAACTCAGGGCATAGAAGAATGATGAACTCCTTAAGAGAAGACAAGTTTTGCATCCCTGCAGGCAGAGACTTCAATTTCGGGCAATCCGAAAGTTGAAGCTTTTGAAGAGATGAGAGATTTTGCAGCTCATCTGGCAGAGCCATTAGTTCTGGACAAGAGACAATGGCCAACTCCCGTAAAGTGTTAGCAGAACCTTGCAGAAGCCATGGAGGGAATGATTTCAACTCTGGCAATGCTTGAATCGCTAAAGTCCTTAAGCTTAAGAGACCACAATTTCCAGTACTCCCATCTTTGCCTTCCTCCCTTGTCAAATCAAGAGCGAGTTTGGCACAGTTGGAGACCACTAGCACCTCTAATACCCTCAAGTATTTCATGCTGCAGGGCAGTGACGTTAGGGATGGGCATCCATCAATAACCAATTCGCGAAGGTTTTCAAGACGATCTACCCCTTTAAACAAGTTTTTTAGATTGAAACAGGAAAAGATCTGCAAACTTCGAAGTGAACTTAAGCATTCTATCCCATTCTCTGCTGGCAAAAGCATCTGCTGTGTGGTAATCACCAAACTTCGAATGCTGACCAGGTTTCCCATATTATCAGGCAACGTTTTGAGTCGCAGACACATCCCGAGGTCAAGACTCTGCAAACTCTGAAGCCTACATATAGATGCAGGGATTCCCTTGAGTCTCCTATTTCCGTTGATGTTGAGATATCTCATATGTTTAAGGGTACCGATGGCGTTTGGCAACTTTTCAAAAGAGGAACCAAATAACACTAGAAGCCGCAGATGCTGAAACCTGGATATGCACATCTCTAAAACAGATTTGGTAGCAAGCAGTACTACACGATTCTGCCTTGCCTTTGCATCTGAGGGAAACAAATGCATGGAGCGAACATTTCTCATTTTCTTCAGGGATTCTGGAGGTTGTTGGCTGATCATATTAGGGGTTAAATGGAGAGACAAATGTCGAACATTTCCAGAAACATTTTCGGCCATGGAGCTTACCCTTAAGTGCTCGCTCTGTGCCACTTGTCGTACAAGGTCATGAATGGCATCTGGCATCCGAAGGGAAAGAGAGGAAGAAAGGTAGAAATTGCCAATATAAATGAATGATCGGAACACCAGTTCCTTCAAATATTGCATACCCATGTCTTCCAACTCTTTATGATCATCATTTGACGGTACAAGAATGAGATCATTAGCCATCCAAGAATGGATCAGAAAATAACTACTGAATGTATCTCCTTTTGGAATAATTGAACAAAAAGCTAAGCAAGGTTTTAAACAAGACGGTAAGAGAGAAAAACTTAATTTCAATGCTGCTCCAATCTCATTTTCCTTACGCTCTTCATTCCATATCTTACTCTCTCTTACGAACAACCAATCACTCTCATTAGTTGTTTTATAAAGGGAGCATCCTAAGCTTCTTACGAAAAGTGGAACTCCCCTGCATTTTTTTACAATTTCTTCCCCAATTTCTACAAGATTTGGATGCGATTCCTCTTGCCCTTTATCAAAAGCACATTTTTTAAACAGGGACAGACATTCATCGGGAGAAAGACCTTGTAAGTAGAATGGTGAAACAGTGCCCATTAGTGAGGCAACTTCTCGGCTACGAGTGGTGATGATTATCTTACTTCCTCTACCACCACCCATTAACAATTGTTTCAACTCATTCCACTTTGCAGGATGGTGATCCCGCACATCATCAAGGATGAGCAGAAATCTCTTACCTGTCAGCAATATTTTCAAACGAGTTTGCAATTGCTTGATATCTAAATAATCACAATATTCACCAGTCATAGATATAATCATATATTTGATAATTGTTGTTAGATCAAAGTCATCCGACACGTTCACCATCATCCTTCTTTCAAAGTGGACAACTACCCGTTGATCCGTGAATACAATTTGTGCCAGAGTACTTTTCCCAAGACCCCCAATTCCAACTATGGGAAGAACAGCCACATGTTCTTGATCATCATCTAAGCAAGTCAAATGCTTTAGTACAATCTCCTCTCTATCATTAACTCTACCAATAATACCAGAGGCTTGCACAAGGGAGTCACTAATCTCCCTTTCTTTGTGCACAAAAGGCCTATCATGGAGTTCTTTCACAAGATCAAATGCACCCATCTGGGCTGCAATCACATCTAATCTTTTTCTCAGCTTCTTAACCTTACAACTAGTTTTGACACAAAATGCTATTGGTTTTGAAGGGAGTAAGACGTAGAAATGACATACCTTTTGTTGAGTCCTCTCACGGTTCGCAACTTGCTTCTGTAAAATTTCTACCTCTATATCATCGAGAACATCTTCAATTTCATAGAGAATGACTTTAAGCTGCTCTAGCCAGGTGATCAGCTTGATATTTCGTGTTTGCCTCTCATCAGCATCCAAGAGCAGTGCTTGAATGCTGATCAAAGTGCTCCGAAGCTTTTGGAGATCATCTTTGTAACCCCATGCCAAGAGGATATCTCTGTGAGATAGGGACTGCAGCTTTTGTAAAACTCTATAAGCAATACTGAAAGAAAATCCAGCCATGTTATGAGGGAACTTAGAGTTGGTTGGGTTATTTGTGTTTAAACTATTGTTGGAAAGCATATATGAAGTGATTATATAATAACTAGGATGCCATTTGTTTTCCTCAAGAATGCAACAATTAGTGGTGGTCTAAATGACAAGTCAAGCATAGATTCTTTTCATCTTGAGATAGGGGAAAGAAAGAACATAAGAAGATGAGGGTGCTAAACCAATATAGGAATATTTCATCCAACATGGCTATTTCTATACAATGATCCTTTTAGTAACTTTAAGTTTCTATCCTTCTCCATATATAGATCTTGAAGATAAAACATGACTAAATTTCATTCAATAATTATGGTGTGTTAAAGTGCTTGCATTGCTTGATAGCATAAATTCTTTCCAGGCTGTTCAATTTTTTTATTAATTCTTATCGCCTAATATTATTTGATTAGGTCATAATCATTGTCTATGAAGCAAGCAACATTTTCTGTTTGGCAAACTTTTTCTTTTCTCAGAGAAGAAAGAGAATATTAGATATATATATATATATATATATAAGAACATATGGATTCACATATGCACAAACACAATAAGCAACTTACCCTCCACCTTGTGAAGGAGCTTACGGGTTCAAGTTCTACAACCGCAGGCCTAAGTCTTGCTTAAGATATTTACTTTTTGATGTCTAAGATTTGACCAAACATACACCTATACCAAATATACTTAGGATGGCAAATGGCAAGTTCATGGCAGATTTCACCATACCTAAGCTTGTCCCTGCACCAAATCTGGGGTGGGTTTATAATTTTTTTTTCTTTTTTGGACCATATCGGGTTTGCAGGTTATACGATCCATACACAACTTGGTTATTATATTATATTATATTATATTATATTATATTAATATTAATATTGATATATTTATTTTTCCATGTATCTATATACATATTTATATATATACATATATTTATGAACAATATTTACCAGGTCGGGTTCAGCGGATTTTGACAAGTCAAATCTGAACCTGCTCAGGCCCGAGCTCAAATGGGACCTGCCATTTAACAATTTCTCTGAAGGTCAACCGCATATTAAATCAGCATTAAGTAATATTTCATTAAAAAAGAAAAAGCAAACGCCTACATCCAAGTGTGTATACACACACACACACACGTATATGTACATCTACACATATATAAGGAGAGACACGCAAACAAATACACTGAACTCATACCCTACAAACACAAACCAAAACCAATGATCAACTCGAATTATCCATCGAGCAGTCAAAATTACTTCAGTTACATTTATTTAAACCAGCCTACAAAAGCAGAATTCCCAACTAAGCCGACGCCTAAAATTAGTAAACAAGTAAAAATAACACTAATAGAAGTATTTAAGAACGAAGCTATGCATCTTTGCAAGATTCAGAGCGACGCTAAACACTGTAACTTGTAACAAAGACCATATGCACCAAAAACCAATAAATTGAAATGGCAAGCCAACCAGTAGACTTATTGAGGATGTTGTTTTGCAATGAATTCGTATTTCGTCGGCACTGTCAATTTGAAATAACAGAGACTCATTTCCCAAGAATGAAGCAAAATAGCGAAGATTTATATAACTTATTAGCGATAATCCCAAGCAACTGAATGGGATAACGGATGAGAACGAAGAGAAAAACAAAGCATCAAGCAACTTGTAACAAAGACCATATGCACCAAAAACCAATAAATTGAAATGGCAAGCCAACCAGTAGACTTATTGAGGATGTTGTTTTGCAATGAATTCGTATTTCGTCGGCACTGTCAATTTGAAATAACAGAGACTCATTTCCCAAGAATGAAGCAAAATAGCGAAGATTTATATAACTTATTAGCGATAATCCCAAGCAACTGAATGGGATAACGGATGAGCACGAAGAGAAAAACAAAGCATCAAGCAGGAACAAGTCACCAATTCTAACGAAATAGGTCATTGATTCGTCGAGTATACCTGGCAGACGAATTGATGTCGACGGCCAAGTGAAGGTTATCAGAGGATTCCTTGACATCTTCTGCGCCAGTTTCGGTCAAAGTGATGATTTACATATTGATCTGCTGAAGGAACACTGTAGCTGCGGCGAAGTGCCGCTTTCCCACGAACTAAGAAAGCACGACGCCGAGCAACTAGGCAGGCTGTAGTCCAGTTTTCTTATTTGAAATGCCTCATTTCTTTTTAAATATATATATATATATATGTAATATGAATTCTATAATTTATTTACAAAATTCATATTTATTTAATTTAACAAAAAATATATTTAAAATAATAAAAATTAAGTTAATACAATATTAATTTTTATATGACTGGATTAATTATTAAAAATAAAGGGGATAAATTAAAATAAAAATTTTATTTTCACTAGCAGCCAAGGGGAAATCCCTCTACCCTGCACCCTGCACAGGGCACCGGAGACGAAGAAGTCTTCCCTGCGCAGAAAAGTAGGGGCAAGGATTGGATGTTTTCTCCGTCCATTGACGATTACGATGACAAGGAATGTGATTTCCGACTGTGCTGTCGCCGAGTTGCTGGTTTTGTGACTGTGAGCGAGCGGAGGATACGAGAGTTGTTGTTGTTTGTAGCAGGAAATCAAATAGGAAGAGAAGAATCTCTCGGAGAAAGAGGAAGAAGAAACACAAAATGATCTATACTTAGCTACACTTTGCAAATGAATGTTATTTTAACAGCTTACGGTAATTTTTTGTTTGAACTGATTGGAGCTCAACTGTTCGATATAATTCCTAGGAGATTCAGTTTCTGTAGCAGAGTTTGATTTTGCTGTTTTGGCTCTTTTAATTGGTAAGTGCCGAAACTCTTTTGTGAAAAAATAACATGAGGTGGCAATCCAGATTTTATAAAATTTGGTGCTGTTCTTTCTGGAGATAAGGACTATTTTTCCCCCCGATTTTTGATCGATCTATATATTGTCTTCTACTTATTCGTTTGTTCTTGGTCACTTGTAAGTTCACTTGAAAAGTTCAAGTTGCTGGGTTGTGCAACATTAAATATATTACTTTTAAGCTGTCTTTACAATGTTCCATTGATGATTAAAGACATTCTTGAACTAGCAAATAAGGGAAGGATATACACTTGACTTGTCACATTCTAGGCTTTGGCTAAAAAAGAGAAAGGAATAACCAAAGACAGAAAATAGTTCGCTTACTTTTGTTTCTGAGGCAGAATATTATACCTGATGATAGTGCTAAGTAACCTAACTCATGCAAAGCTAGTCCTTAAATTTCTCTCAAGAATAAGTACTTTACTTGTGCTTAGTTGCTTCAGAATGTCAAATATATGTTAATATAGTTGGCAAAAACACAATCCTTTTGTGCTATATAATACAGCACACAGTCATCCAACCTCCACACTTCATTGTCCAAAATATCAATTATAAGCAAGATTGTTATCCACCTAGTTGATAACAAAAATGGCTGCATTTGTTTTCAGTGCTGCTAACAAAGTGTTGCAGGAGCTTGGAGACCTGGCTTATGAGGAGGTCCGGATAGCATATGGTGTCAAAACTGAACTAGAAAAGCTTCGAAGCACTATGGGCACTGTCCAATTAGTCCTTAAAGATGCCGAGAAGAAGCAAGCCAGTGATGAAAATATCAGACATTGGCTAAAGCAACTCAAAGACATCTTCTACGACATTGAAGACGTGGTTGATGAATTTGCAGCAGAGACACTACGTGCTCAAGTTGTCAATCAAGAAAGCATAACCCAAAAGGTACGCCACTTTTTTTCTGCCTCAAATCCACTAGCATTCCGCTTTAGAATGAGTCATAGAATTAAGGATGTTAGGGAGAAGCTCGATGAGATTGCAGCCCAGAAGGTTAGATTTCATGAACTCGTTGAGCAAGGAATTGATGACAAGTCCCTCATGCATAAGGAAAGGTACAGAGACACCACCTACTCGTATGTGCAAACTTCTAATGTTATCGGAAGAGATGAGGACAGGAAGAAAATTAGAAAAACCTTGATCGGTTTTAATAACCTCACTGCTAGAAATGTCTCTGTTGTCCCCATAGTTGGGATTGGAGGCCTAGGAAAAACATCACTAACAAAGTTGGTGTACAATGATGAACAAGTAGTCAAGCACTTTCCGTGTAGAATGTGGGTGTGTGTGTCTCAGAATTTTGTTGTCAGCAATGTGCTCAAAGACATGATTAAATCTGCAACAGGGGAGGACTGTGATAAGTTTAATATGGAACAGTTGCACAAGTGTTTGCGAGATGCTTTGTTAGGTAAGCGGTTCATACTGGTGTTAGATGACGTTTGGAGTGATGATCGTCAAACATGGATGGATTTGATGGGTTTGTTAGAGGTTGGTGATAGTGGAAGCAAGGTCATAGTGACCACACGCAGTCCACAGGTTGCCAATGTAATGGGAGGCACTAACAATGTCTCAACACATGACTTAAAAGGCCTTTCCCCTAAGGAATCCATGTCATTGTTTGTGCAGTGGGCATTTGGAGATCCTAAAGCTGCTAAAAGACACCCCGAGCTCTTGGAAATTGGTGACGAAATTGTTACAAAATGTAAAGGGGTCCCTCTTGCAGTGAGAACTGTAGGGAGCCTACTTTACTCCAAGAGAGATAAGCGTGACTGGTTATTGATAAAAAACAATGGAATATGGGAATTAGAACAGAGTGAAAACGATATCTTACCAGCATTGAGATTGAGCTATGATGAGATGCCATCTCATTTGAAACGGTGTTTTGTTTATTGTTCTATTTTTCCCAAACGCTTTGAATTTGACAGTGAGGATCTAATTCAATTCTGGATGGCACATAATCTGATTCGTTCTCCAAACAAGGATCAAGATTTGGAAGACGTAGGCGAGCAATATGTTAAAGAGTTGTGGATGAGATCGTTTTTTGAAGATTTTCGTGATAGAGGTTACTACTATACATTTTCTATGCATGACCTCATTCATGATCTCTGCTTGTCTATGGCTCAAAATGATTGCAGCATTGTCTACAGTGCGGCACAAGAGGTTGACGAAAGTGTTCGACATTTGTCATTTACAGAATTTGAACTGCCCAATGGCCAGCAAGTTCCGAAGTGTTTGAGCATGTTAAGGAATGTGCGCACAATTACTTTTCCAGAAGTAGATATCCTCTTCCAAAGTCTGGATAATCAATCATTTGTAGATGCATGCATACCTAGATTCAAGTACCTGAGATTCCTAGATTTAAGTAACTCTTCTTTTGAAGTGTTACCAAGTTCTATCAGTAAGCTGATACATTTGAGATATTTTGATATATCTGTGAATCAACGGATTGAGAAACTCCCTAAAGCTGTTTCCAAGCTGCAAAGCCTGCAGACTTTTCGATTTTCAGGTTGTTCAGAGCTTGTAAAGTTGCCAGATGGTATGCGGAACTTGATCAGCCTTAGGCATTTGACGCTAACCACACAAGAGGAGCATCTGACAGACTCTGGAGTAGGAAACATCACTTCTCTACGGAGTTTGGTACTTGCAGCATGTGAGAATCTGGAAAATTTATCGATATGCACCTCTTAGTGAACCTTCGATCATTGTCTATCGTTCTCTGTCCAAGTTTAGAAGCTTTACCACGCCGTATCTTGGGCCTGCCTGCATTAGAGACTTTGGTCATCCAATACTGCAACAGGCTTAATCTTGATTTTCCAGAGGAATCAGTGGGGCCATCAAGACTTCGGACCCTGAAGCTCGGAGGTTTGCCAGAGTTGTTGGCATTGCCACTCTGGATTCAAGCATCTGCAACTACTCTGCGATATATAAAGATTGAAGGCTCCTACAACTTGACAGAACTGCCCGTGTGGACGAAAGATCTGTCATCACTCAACACACTTAAGCTTCAAGCTTGCCCAGAATTGAAGTCTCTCCCCGAGGGAATGAAGCAACTCACTTCTCTCAACGAGCTGTCGATCTCATCCTGCATTGGCCTTAGTGCGAGATGCTACAAGGGAGGAGCAGACTGGGAGAAAATTGCTCATGTTCCTGTGGTCAAGCTTGATGGGATCACTTACAATTCAAGCAAATAATAGTGTAAGTATCATTTTTAATCCTTCACTCATATTTCTCACTTGTGCCAATATAACAACTCTTAATCTTTTTCTCAACCATTGCAGGTCTCGTTGAACTCGAGTTATGTTGAACAGGCTTACTTTTTATCTTCTATTTATTTGATTGATTTATGAAAGCTAACTCGGATGGCTATATATATATAATATCTATGATTGTAATTTTCTACATCTATACCTTCATGTTGTATTCAAGATTCTATATTGTGGAGATAAAACAGCGTGAATTTCCAATAGTTGATACACGTGTTTGAAATAATAATTAGATAAATATGTCAGTATATAATATTTTACAATATTAAATATATTTCTTTTATAACTGATAAAAAAAAATTGACGGCAGGAAAAATAAATTTTTACAAATTTTTTTGGAAGTGTATATTTATATAACAAAAAATAATATTATTTTCTTATAATAATAACGTGTAAATCTATTTCTTTAATTTATAAATTAATTAAATGTTTTAATTTAAATATAAAATAAAAATAAAAAATCAGAAATTTAATTACAATAATTAAAGCATTAATGGTGAAATTGAAAATTTGAGTAAAAAAAAATTAAAACCTTAATGATGAAATGCGAAAGTTGCAGAAGGGTTTCCCGCCATTAATTCCTCCCTCCACTGAAGCAGCAAGAGATCAGCTATCGCCACTGATGATGTCTCTTCTGGTAACGTGCATCTTGCTTATGACTTGAAGCCATTCGATTGGAATCTTGGAGAAATTGAAATGTCAAAGCTCTTAATTCTCTGCGTGGGTGGTAAATCAGGGTTTGACAGATCGAGGGTTATCAGGCGAGTCGGGTCATCTCCAGCTTAATTCAGGTTCTTGCAAACAAGCCGATATCTTTGTACAGATTATTACTTTAATAAATGATGCTTTCTTTTATATACACGCACGCGAGATTCCACGCATACACAGATATATCAAGCATGGAGAAACAGAGATTTTTACTCCACAAGTCTGCCATGGCTTTCGTTATTTAAATCGTGTTTGGGGATTATTTAATGCACGTTGCTTTCCTAAAAATTGAATGATGAGTTAAGATTGTGAGTGGCGTCATAGAACAGGGGACTATTCGACGATCAGTATCCTGCAAAATAGTATACTTCTTATGTAGTTTTTAAAAGTGGAAAATTTATAATACAACAAATTTCATAGGCAAAAACATAATTTGCCCATCGTTTTTTTTGGTTGGTATTCTAGAACAGAAACAAAAAGAAAAAAAAAAGAACGAGAATTATGGAAAATAAAACAGAATGAAAACAACCAGCAAAAAGTAAATAAAATAACACAGATTTCTGCTAATATTAGTTTTCTTGTTTCTTTTAGGTATTTTAAAGTGATAGATCAATGTATTTTGAATGTTAACGGTATTATATGATGAAGTGATGAAAAATATTAATAGAATCTTTTGAAAAGTAGATAGTAATGCCCTGTGTAATAACTTATAAATTATGGTGTTTTTTGTTCAGTTTTAAAATATTAGATGGTTTCTGTATGATACAGCAAATCTTAGGGGACAGAGTGTATATTAGCTTAGAAATTAGGTTGTTTTTTGTTCAGTTTTGAAAAGTTTGGTGGTTTCTGTATGATACAGCAAACTTTGGGGGAGGGGGAGGGGAGGGAATGTAATATGTTCATAAATGATTCCTGTTGAGAATGGCCTTGCAAGAATTTGATTGTCATATTTATCTCAAAAAAAGAATTTGATTGTCATATCCCACCCTTAACATAATATACATTTAGCTTGCCATTTCAATCCATTGGTTTTTACTGCTTGTGATCTTTGTTAGAAGTTACAGTGTTTAGCCTGGCCTTGATTCTTGCAGGTAGCCATGTCTTGGTCCCTGGATAATGCCATGTGCGTTCCTTCTTACTTGTTTACTTATTCTAGACATGGGTTTAATTGGGAATTCTGTTTGTCTAGTAATGTGTAACTAAATGTAAAAGCGATATGAAACTTGTTTATTGGATCTTCTATATTGGAACTGATGTTTGGTACGATCTCAATCTCACCATGCTTAAATGTGTTCTGGACTGTTACGTGGTATGGCTTATTCATATTTGCCCATATACATGTGTATACATACACACATATCATATAAATAAAACACATATATACGTATTTATCATATTTTTAATGCTAAATGCTTGAATCAGGTTAGTGTATTTTGTTAGTTCATATTTTATGTGGGAGGGCAGAATCACTTTTTGCAACTCCTGTTTGCTGGGTTGATGTTTCTGTTGGAACCATTTGCTTGACAATGAAAAAGATACTTGAGTTCAGAAGGGACAAAGAGTCTAACGTGTGTTTAGAACATCATTCCTCTGCAGACATGCTGACTGCATTAGGCAATACAAATTAATCAAAGAGTATGAAGCTGCCAGTAATTATCTAAGATACTTTTCATCATGTGTTATATTATTAAGAAGATAAATTATATAAAAATACTTTATAACTCGCTAATTGTTGGATATATGCGAAAATACTTCACTCAAAAGTAATATGTATGTATTTTTTCCTTTTAATATCCTTTACTTTCTACTTTTTTAAAAGGAAAGAATATATGCTTGACTTGACTTTCAGACAACTGTTAGTTGATTTATGCCTGAGGAAAAGTCACTGGAATCTTAGCTATTCAATTATGAATCTAATACTGCTCATATATATACCTTCAGACATTGATAATTCAAAATTAACCCTCTGTTCTGTTTATCTAAAGTACTAGTACCTCAATCAATTTCACATATTGTGCCGGTTTTATTGCCCTTTCTATATACATAACATGGTTGGATATACTATGGGAATTGCTGATAAAGTTTTAAACAAGTTGGGGTCCCTCTCTTTTAAAGATATCAGCTTGGCATGGGCTTTCAGCAGTGATCTCCAAAAGCTCAGAAGCACATTGACAAGCATCAAATCCATGCTCTTGGATGCTGATGAGAAGCAAGCAAGAAACAGCGAGCTCAGCACGTGGCTGGGCCAGCTTAAAGTCATTCTTTATGAGATGGAAGATTTTCTGGATGATTTGGAGCTGGAAGTTTTGCAGAAGCAAGTAGCTAATCGGGAAGGAACTAAAGAAAAGGTATACCATCTCAAACTCTTCCCATCATCAAACTGGTTAGCATCTTGTGTCAAAATGTGGTCTAAGGTCAAGAAGTTAGGAAAAAGACTAGATGAGATTGCAGCCCAGAAACCTGCATTTGATTTTGTCGAGCAACTCGATATGCCTTTTGTGCACAAGGATAGGGAGATTCATCACTCCTATTTGCAAGTCTCTGACATTGTTGGAAGAGACAATGATAAGGAGAATATTATACAACAGTTGATGTGCTTAGATGATGAAGAATTTTTGCATGTTCTTCCAATAGTTGGAACCAGTGGTCTTGGGAAAACTATATTGGCAGAAATGGTGTTCTTTGATGAGTGGTTTGCTATGCAATTTGAAATAAAGATAATGATGCCAGTGCCTGAGGATTTTGATCTACGTAAAATGATCAAATATATGATTAGATATTCAACTGGTGAAATTTGTGATGATTTAGATATCGAGCAATTGCAAACTCATTTGAAGATGCTTCTGAGTGCTAGGAGATTTCTGCTCATCCTTGAGGATGTGCAAAATCACCATCTTGCAAAGTGGAACAAGTTGAAACAGTTGTTGATGAATGGTGGTAGAGGAAGTAAGATAATTATTACTACACGTAGAGAACAAGTTGCCCAATCTGTGGGCACTGTTTCACCATACCACTTACAAGGTCTTTCAGATGATGAATGTTTGTCCATGTTTAAAAAATGTGCTTTTGAGGAAGGGCAAGAGGAAAAATATCCAAACCTTGTAAAAATTGGTGAACAGATTGTTAAGAAGTGTAGAGGGATCCCATTCTCTGTTAGATGCTTAGGATGCTCACTTTATAAATGTACTAATGAGCGTGACTGGTTGTTTGTGAGGGATAGTGAGATATGGAATCAACAAAGTAAGGAAGATGGGATTGAACCAGCATTGAATTTAAGTTTTTCTCTCTTGCCTTCTTGCTTAAAGCCTTGTTTGGCATTTTGTTCAGTGTTTGAAAAGGGACATTTAATCTCTAGTGCTTCTTTGATCAACTTTTGGATGGCTAATAATCTTATACTTATATCATCGGATGGTAGTAAGGGATTGGGAGAGACAGGCATGCAATATTTGAAGGAGCTGATATTTAGATCATTCATTTGTTTCCATGACAATATGCCCTTTCCTTTTTTATTTTCTGTAAGGATGCCAAATGGCATTCACGATCTTGTGAGACAAGTAGCAGCCACTGAGCATTCAAGAATAAGCTCCACTATGCAAAATGTTTCTGAAAATGTTAGGCATTTGTCACTTTCTTCCAGCATTGACATGTCTAGCGAACAACTTTCCGAATTCTTAAAGAAATCGAAAAGTGTGAGTTCCATTTTTCTGTTCCCAGATGAAAAGTCACGGGAGCAGCATTCACCGCTTGTCGGCAAATCCATTCTAGATATTTGCGTATCCAGGTTTTTGTATCTTCGGGTGTTTTCTTTAGTGGACTCAAATTTTGAAGAGATACCAAACTCAATTAGTATGCTTAAGCATTTAAGGTATGTAAATCTGACGTTTAATCGGAAACTCAGGGAAATCCCAGCATCAATGTGCAGGCTCAAAAGTTTGCAAACTCTTAACCTGAATCACTGTTTGGGACTTAAAAGGTTGCCTGCTAACATGGGAAGCCTGTTTAATCTCCAAACCTTGGTAATAACAACGCAAGAGAGGTGTTTACCCACAGAGAATGGGATAGCATGCTTGAGTTCACTTAGGCATTTGAAAATTGTTGCTTGTTGCAATCTTGAAAGCTTATTCAAAGGAATGCAATGCCTCAAAGCCCTTCAGATATTGGTTATTGATGGATGTCCTCTATTGAGGTCATTGCCTTGCAGCATCAAATATTTGAAGGCATTAGACACATTGATAATCTCCAATTGCTCTATCCTTAATCTTGATTTTTTGACAGCGGAAGAAGAGACTGAAGATGGCAGCTGTGATCTCTCCAGCTTAAGGACTTTGGTGATTAAAGCATTGCCAAAGTTGGAAGCATTGCCTCTATGGCTTCTCCAAGCTTCTGCTAATATCTTATGCAACATTAGCATTGACTTTCTTCCAGAACTAAAGGCTTTGCCCGATGAGCTTGAAACTCTCTTGTCACTTCAAAAGCTTCGCATTTTGAATTGCCTGAAACTGACAGCTTTGCCACAAGGGATGCAAAACCTGTCCTCCCTTAAGGAATTGATCATTTTTCGATGCAGCCCAGAATTAAGCCGCAGATGCCAACCTCCCATGGGAGGCCAGGACTGGCCCAAGATTGCCCATGTCCCTGAATTTTATATTGATGGGTTGAAGATCGCACCTGAGCCTACTCAATAATTAGGTAAGCACCCAATTCATCTCTCTTTATCTCTATGATCTCTTGTTTTTCTTTTTGCCATAGTTATCAATCATGACTGTTAATTCTTTATCTCTTTGTTTCAGAGCACCGGGATAGATTCTTTGTTAGTGAACAAACGGCATTCTAGTCCACCCAATAACTAAATCAGTCATGCATACCTATTAGATTAAATCTTCAAAATTTAGTATTTCAAGTGTCACTAGGACTAGGTACTTTGAATTCTGTTTAAATTTTAGAATAAAATATAAAAGCTTTATGCTTCATTCACGCTTTCAACCCAAAAATTTGATTCTAATTGAAATATTTGATATAAATTATAAATTAGAGAAATTCTTTTATTCGCTTTTGGAATATAACTGATTACTCAAATTATCACTTCACTCTTTGACGCAAAAGGATATAGTCTATATTTTCCATATCTTCAAATTTCTTCTTCATTGGTTATCTTATATGTTGCAGCCAAGGGTGCACCGGGAGTGAATCTGCCTGATGTCCTGACCCCATCTAGTAATTGGAAAAGAAAGACAAGCTGGTTCACATCTCTGTCATCCATCATAAATATATATGTGTGTGTGTCTGTTCTGATCGTATGTCTGTATTACATACAAGTGATTGTATATTGTTAAATTTAACGGTGAAAGGTACAAGTTTCCGTGATTTAATTTGTTGTTATTCAAATCATAGCATCCCTCTGTTGCATTTGTTCTTTTCTGATAGTAGTAGTTATGGAGGTACTTAAGCTAGCAAAGAAGAAAGAATATATACTTCGGTTGTGAATGTTGCCTGCTTGGTACAAACGAAAAAGGAAATTCCATTTTATATTGATTTACAGAATAATGTACTTCTATTCTCAGTTGAGGGAGCAACAATTCTAGCTTCAATTGAATGTTTATTGTATAATTTTGAGTTGCAGTTTTTAATTTTCCTTTTTAATTTTGAAAGAGCCTAAGGCTTGTGGGTAACCAACCAGTGTAAGAATGAAAGATTAGGGTATTTTTATTTCCAATGTAATTTTTATGTTTAGAGATTATATCGATTAAAGCAGGTCATTCAGGCAAAAAAAGAAAAGAATTCATAAAAAAGATTCTGTCAACCTAATCTGAGAGAATTCAACCCTGAAAGCTAAGCCTTTATAATTCAATCTTCTGTTTTAAACCAACAGTTTCTACTGAAATTGTTCCATTTCACGTCAATGCCTGAAGAACAGAAAAAAAAAAAAGGAAGATAGTGAAAAGAATACCACAATCAGGAAGTTTTATTGTTTTGAAAGAACTATACAAAGCAAATAGCAAAACAGGAAGCCAAAATATTTGGCAAGCATAAATGGGCACTTCATTCAAATAGAAAGTAATCCATGGTTGAGATCAATTCCTGATGGGAATATCAAAATTCAGAAACTTCAACATTACTATTCTGGAAAAATATGCAACAGAACTCACCTGATCTCTTCTCCTAACTCCACCACCCTCCTTCCACTGACCAATTCCCTACTTTGTTAACAAAACCCACAAAGATCTCAAGCTGCCACTAATCATAAACCATTTTGATATAAAAGATGCAGACATATAATTTGAAAAACACTTGGACTTGACTAGTTGCTTTGCCTGACCTAAGAAGGGATGCATCCGGGAGTCCTGATCATTTGTGGGAGGGAATCCCAAGTAATTGTTGTACATAGTTGTTACTTTGCATATCTTGCAGCAAGGAAATTCTGTTTGCCGGAATCTTGATCAAATTTGGTTCAAGAATGTAGGATGTGCTCCATTGATTATCAGTTTTGCTTTATTTCTTGAAGCATTTCGACCACTTTCTTCATTTTTGGTCGTTTAGCTGGCGTGGTGTCAGTGCAGAGTAATGCTATCTTTAGAGCTGCAAGCATTTCTCTCCTCCAGTTGAATGAAACTGTGCTAAGCCTGGCGTCAAGAATCTGTTCTGGTGTTTCTCCTCTTGATGGAGCTCCATGAACCCACTTCACCAAATCTACACCTTCACCAAAATCCTCATCCACAGGTAGCCTGGTTGTTAAGATCTCTAGCAAAACAACTCCATAGCTATATACATTTCCCGGTGCTGTAACTTGCATCGTATATGCATATTCTGAAAAGGAAACAAAAGGAAATTACAGTAATTAGTGAGATGAGAAGATGCTTTAAGAGAGTGGGTGCACTAACAGATTATCATATCCCAAATTGATTCACATTTCTTAAATTTAAACCAACACCATACTTTGGTATAAGAGAAAGGTGCCTAACAAATATATAAACCATTAGATTCTTTATATTTGGACCATGTGGAATTAGTTTACATTGAAGAAAATATATTTCACCTGGAGGAATATAGCCAAACGAGCCTGCAACTGCACTGATACTTGCAGTACCTTTAGAGGGATCTAAGAGCTTTGATATCTCAATTTCTCCAACCAAAGGTTTGAAATCCGCATCAAGATGCACGTTACCAGAAGAGATATCCAGGTGGATTATCGCCAGGTGATGGAGGAATGCCAGCCCTTCTGCTACTCCAATTGCAATAGACAGTCTCTTAGGCCAGTCTGGTTGGTAATCAGGTGCCTTTGTGGATTCATGGAGAAGCTGAGCTAGAGTTCCATTGGGTAAATAATGATGTAGCAAAAGAGCAACATCTTCATAAATTACAAATCCAATTGGTCGCACTAGATTATCATGACAAAGCTTGCTTAGTCTTTCAAGCTCTCTAATCATCTTGTTCTGATGATGAATTATTGTCCTATCCATAGACTTCAGACTCTTAACTGAAATAATCAACCCAGAAGGCATAACTGCCTTGTAAATGGTACTGAATGTCCCACTGTTGAGCTTATTTGAATCCTTGAAAGTTGCCTTGACAACAGCATCAAGGTCTATTGCCTGTCTAAGATTCTCAACAAAGATATTTCCTGCTATTATTGCTGGTTGGTCATTTGCTACTTCCTCTTCAACATTTGCACTTTTGGCCACTTTTTCCTGTCTTTCCCGCATCATGAATAGCAGGACAACTATAGTGACTGATACAAAAACTGTGAGACCGGAACCAATAACAGCTAGTATGATCCTGTAAGAAACCTTGTGGTGGTAGTTCTGGTGCTCTGGACCATTTGAATCTCCACAGAATGAGCTCAATGGCTCTCCACACAGCCCTTTATTGCCAAGAAAGCTTGTAGATGGACTCTTCTGGAATGGTACAAAGGTGGGTACTGGCCCAGTAAGTAGATTGTTTGAGAAATTAACCTCAATCAAGCTCAACATGCCCTTCAGTGCAGGTGGAATGGTTCCAGAGAGCTGATTGTTCGATACATCCAAAGAAACCAGCTTGTCAAGCTTCCCTAACTCAGGAGGAAGTGGTCCATGGAGATGATTGAAGCTCAAATTCAAAGCTATCTGCAAGTTTCTTATATGACCAATCTCTGGAGGGACGGTTCCTGTCAAATAATTACTACCCATTTGCAATTCAAGCAGTTTCAGACAGCTTCCAATTTCATGGGGTATCTCCCCTTTTATTGAATTCTGACCCATAAGCAAGTACTGCAGCCTTGACATGTTGCAGATTTTACTTGGTACCGTACCATTGAGTCTGTTATTGCTTAGATCAAGTTTATTTAAGTTCTTGCAACCAAGAATTGATTCTGGGATATCTCCATGAAGACTGTTGCCTGAAAGAATCAATTCCTGAAGATTCACAAGCTGCCCAAGCTCCAAAGGAATGGATCCAGTAAACCCATTTGAAGCTAGATTTAGGAGTGTGAGATTAGAACATTGAGCAAACTCAGGGACGATCTCACCAGATAGATTGTTGTTATCGGCTTCAAAATATGTGAGGCTACTAACATTTCCTATTTCCTTAGGGATGACTCCTACGAGGTCATTATACCCAATTCGGATGCTAGAGAGTCCCTTACATATCCCAACTAGTCCAGGAAGATCACCAGTCAATCTGTTTTGTGTCAGCACCAAAACTTCCAGCTTCCCCATAGCAAAAATGCTTTTTGGTATTGACCCAGTTAAATTGTTGGAGTGAAGGTTCAACAACTTAAGTTCAGATGCCAATCCTAGATTATCCGGAATTTCACCCCTTAACTCATTCTCATAAGCAGTGAAAACTCTCAAATTGGTCAGATTTCCAACCCAATGTGGTATGGAACCAGTTAACTTATTGCTAGAAATTTGAAAGTCCTCTAAGTTCTCTAGCCCTTGAAGCTCATCAGGTATCTCTCCCACAAGAAAGTTATTTGAAAGATTCAATGATCTGAGGTTTCTAAGACTACCCAACTCGGATGGTATTTGACCACTAAACTTATTCATAGACAAATCAAGGAATTCAAGCTTTGAGAGATTGCCAAAAGTTGGAGGTATAGGTCCACTGAAACTGTTACTAGAAAGGTCAAGTTCCTTCAATGCTTTAAGCTCAGAGATAAGAGACACATTACCTCGAAGCTGAAGCCGAGAAAGATCAAGACTCTCGACAAACAAATTGTTCAAGCCGCAGCTAATGCGGTTCCATTTGCAGAAATCTGTGTCATTGGCACCCCATCCAGGCACTGCCAACTCTCTGTTAATGGCAAGCAATGTAGCTTGATCACTGAGCTGAGCTCCCACAAGCTGAGACTTTGATAGAAGCCCGATTACCAGAATTGACAGCATGCATAGAAACGCCATTGTTGACGACGGGTAAAACTTTCTCGATACTCGATAACTCAGTCTTCTTCTTCACCAAACACCAAAAAAGCGATCAAATGGGTGCCAGAAACCAGTGACCAAAAAACAAAATCTCCCTTGCTTTTTCCTCCACTAACATTACTTTCCAATTGAAACCGTTTCTCCTCTCTCAAAAGCTTACTTCGTTTGTCTCCCCTGCTCGTCCGGAGAGAAAATGCCTCACAGAAAAAAACCCAACTTGGAAAAACCTCTATCGAATTGAAGACCATTAAAGAAACAAAATCCCACTTCAGATCAATCTTTAGAAATCAGATGAAGAAATCAAGAACTCTATACCGGAGATCGATCAAACACTTGCAGTATAAAGAAAAGAATGAACCGTACTGACCAAAACTTGAAAAACCGTGAATGATTTGAAAACCAAATCCAAAAAAAAAAAAAAAGAAGAATCAAACAAAAGATGTACAATACAACAAGAGGGACTGCATTACAGAAGATGGTCCACAAGTCTATATGAAATACTACGGCCCGCGTTCACTATGTCACAGGACACGATTGCTGAACCAAACAAGAAAAAAGACTAGGGAAGAAAAAAAGTGCTACTCAATGAGAAACAGAGAAAAAAAAAAAAAAAAAAAAAAGCAAAGCAAAAGAGGAAGAACAGATTGCAGGAGGAGTTGTACTGAGTTCTGGTGCAGGTGATTTTGGAAGAGAGAGAGAGAGAGAGAGAGAGAGATTTTTTTGTGGGTCTGAAAAGGAGAGGAATTCTTTTCTCACGTAATGGCTTTTTCACGAGAGATGGACAGTGAGGAGTGAATGAAGTCGTGCATTAAAAATAATTTCCTCTCTGCCAAGTGCGGCTGATCAAAAAACATTATCATCCAGTATGATAATTCTAAAGGACATATATATTCAAGAGGTCTGTAATTATGTATATTATACCAGTGCTAATTACCCACTAAACATTCCCATTATTAATTTAATTATAACTTCAACTTCAAATATTTTATTCCATTTTGTTTACAGAATTTTAGGTGTCACAAAAAAAATATTTATTCTAAATATGTTTTCAATTATGTGATTTGATTATTGAATTAATTCTTGTCCATCTCTACTAATCCTTCTTAATAATTTAAACCCTATATTAATTACTAATTAATTTAGTTAATTGTTTTAATTAATTAGCATAAAACCCTATAAAAGTTTTTTGTTACTAAATAAAGCTGCCCTAGCTACACACACACACACATATATATATATATATACACACACCTAAACCTAGGATTCCCTTAATTCCTGTGGGGTACTATTTATGGTGTAGATAAAAGTGAGACACACCATATATGCATTTTCAATTTCTTACTCATCTAATTTTAATTATGGGATAAAGTTCAGATTAATTTAATAATTTTGCACTTAATCTAAAAATTATCGACGAATATTTTTAATAATATTAAAAAAATTTAGTATTAAAACATTTTTACACCAAATATTTATACAAATTCCCATTACCATTTTTAAATATAGATAAATTATGGGATAATTGGCTAATGAAATGATGTCTATATATATATATATATATATATATATATATACATGCTGATAATACAATGTGATTATACAATTTTATATAATAAAAATTAATATTAAAATTTAAAAAATAATATTATTATTGTATATTTTATTGGAAAAATTATAGGAGAAATGTACTTATATAGAAAAAAAAAATTAATCAGAATAAATTAATGGTTATATATGTTACCAAAAATAATTATATGCATGTGGATTCAAATAATTTTAGATAATTTAAATATGTATGTATGTATGTATGTATATATATATATATATGTATTCATTTTGAATGTTTAAATAGTTTGATTGTCCATTCGTTGTTTCTTCAACACCACGTTGTGTAAACATAATGCCTATTGTGATTCACTGTTTCCCAACACAAACAGTGAGAGTTGGTGATAAATGTTTGTTTGGTTGCCGAGAAAATAGTGATTTAGCTATTTAGAGTGGGGCAGAAAATTTCTGGTATTGGATTTGATGTTCGTAATAAATATATTTGTCATAAGTCTTGGGTCTTATATAATACGTACTAACTGTAATTATTTATAAATTTTGTTATATATATTTATATATTAATGTTGGCAATTAAGTTTACTAATAATACCCACCAAATGATTTAAAATGTAAATAATAAAATAAATTTATTCTCTATTCATTTTATTAAGACCCTAAATATAAATAAATAACCAACTATAATTTATATTTTTAATTTATAAATATTTATATATGTGTAATTTATACAAAATAATTTATTAAAATTTTGTTAGATACATGAAATATTTTTATTTATTTATTTATTTTATGTAATTTTTTTTTAAATAATAAATAAAATATTTTAAAATAAAGACTAGTTAATAATTGATGGGAAGCTAAGTATAATGTTGTTGTGACCTTTTTTTTTTTGGGTGCTTTTGTTTTCTCTTTTGTTACCTTGTGAATTATTGAAGTCCCTACGGACAATATGTTCCTCTCGACTCTGATTGAAAATTACAAATGGAACGGTATATGAATAAATTAGATTTTGACATAATTAAATATTCGTACGTAAAAATTAATCTAAAATTTTTTTAAAAAAATAATAATATTTTACAAGTTACGAATATATATATATATATATATATTAATAATCAAACTTAACTTGGTAGTAAAAATTTAATAGTATGTAATTAATTGAATTATAAATCTACAAGTAATATTTTGGGGTTCGAAATAATTAACTTTGTAATAATGAAATTAAATTTTTTTAAAAATTTTACGTGAGACGGTGACATCAGCAGCACGACAAGTTAGAATGCGTTATTAAATTTAAAAATTAATTTAATCCTAATTATAACCTAAAACTTAGATGATTTGCAAAACAATTTGTATATAATGAATTTATATATATATATATATATATATATATATAGAAAAAGGGAAAGAATTATTTGACTCATGTGGTGAGTGGGGCTGTGACCCACAACAGCCCATAAAAAGTGTTGTGGCATCCCCGAGACAAGTAGGGACAAGATACGCCTGTGTGATACTACTGGCCTCTGACCTCTGACCATGCACACCCCCATGTAAAAACTATGTATGTGTGTATATATATATATATATATACACTGCAAATATATAATATACGTGTTATATTTATACATAAACATACATACATACATACATACATATATATATGTGTGTGTGTGTAAGACGTAAAAAGCAAGATATAAGAATGTCACAGAATTCACATTCCCTTGCTTTCCTTGGAATATATAAAAAGAATAAAACATAAATATTAATAAATAAATATATACACAGACTAAACTTTGGTTTGAATATCTTATAATATTTAATTTAATAAAATTAAAATTAAATTTATTAGTAAAAAAAAAAAAAAGGGGGGAGACAGCATCATAGACTTCCATAGTATATAAATGCTTGCCACCTTTTTCTCATGATTACGGTAAAAATAGTCGCGGGTAATTTATTTTATTGTTAGTTAATATAATCCAATTTTTTTTTTTAATAATATTTTCTTAAGTAAGATTAAAACATTGATTAGGGCGTAATTAATGCAGGAATCCAGCAGTTCGATGGAAAGACGGGAGTACAAATATCAAGTATGTGGCGGTGCAATCCCCCATGGTGGCGCCACTAATCTCATAATTAAGCCTCTAATCATTCTGTTTAAGTATTTTTCCTTTTAATTATTTCAAACATATATATTATATATACGGGAAGACCATATTAAAATCTTATTTTAATCATTATTTTTCCCAAATCACCTAGCTTAAATATTATTTAGTAATTAATTAAAAATATGCCGTATAAGAGTTTTATCTTAATCCCATATATTGATATGTATATATATTTCACCGAAATATTAAAAATAAAATATAAAATCCTCTTATTTTTATGGTTGATTTAATTAAAATAAAATACAATATAATCACATGCATATATATGTATATATGTATAT